TAATTAATTAATTAATTAATATATATATATATATATATAACGGTAGGGTCGACTTAATTTGTAAGAAATACACAGGGTGGGGGGGGGATAAAATACCCCAAACAAGAAAACGTATTGGTTAGCCATGACACATCTGTACTACACAATATGAACAGTAAGTTACTTATTTATACCAAATCAACTTCTAAACAAAATACATATTTAAGTACTACGTATGCTAGACAGCAACTAAATATAGCTTGCAGAGCAACTAATGACAAGTACTTGCTCCATTATGCAGCATAACTTCAAGAACTGAAATAACAATGTACAATACAGACATTGTACATATTTTTTTTATAGGGAATGTTAATTCAGGGGAATAAATTCATCCTGCCTGAAATGATAATTGAAAGTGCAGTCCCAGAGATGAAAAAAGCAGAGCCAGGGAGATCCCTTTCACCCATACTCTGTAACCACACACACACACACGTTTTTGATGACATAATTAAATCAGTTACAAAATATTAACATTTTTATCATTCATTTCTCAGAAAATCAAAGTAAATCTTGATTGGCAAGTTGTAACATAATGATCTACTTAAATAAAACCTTGAAATATAAATTGACTTTAGGCTCCAAAGTGTTAGGGATGTTATACCTGAAAAAAAGCTTCTTTTCTCGATTTTTAATCTAAAGTCATACAGTGAAGGAAACTCTTTGTATACACTTATATATTACATATATCTTAGTGTTGTACTTTTATTATAGTTCTTCATGGTACTGTAAATATACACAATTAAAAATCAACAACACTCTAAGAAAAAAAATATTTAAATATTAAAACTGCTAACCTTAAGTTTGATTCCCTCCCTCCCAACTGTGAATTTTATTTGGGGTGTAGAAATATTTAAACTTTCTGCTTATCTAAGTAAAACTTGTCAACATACAACACAGCTGCAAATCTGTGTTTTCCATATATGTTTGTTGCTTATTTCTGGTTTAAGTAGTTTGAAAATAAATTAATTTTTGAAGTTGAAGTGTAAAAAAACTGAAATCCAAGTATCTGCAGTTTTTGTTTTACAATTTCCAAACTTCTAAATCTAACAAAATCAGAAACATGTCATGAGAAATCAGGGACTATTTTCTTTCATAAAATCTGTTTGCTATAGAATTCCCTTTTTCCTTATATAGACTATAGATTTGTATAATTTCAATTATTACATTGCAAACGTCTTCAAATAATTCAATTACAAGAGCAAAACCTTCACATATGGATCATTTTTTGGTTGTGTATTTTGTATTTGAATGTTCATAAAATGTGAAGGCAATGCTGTGTGTTTGAAGTAATTAAACAGCTGAGTAACTTTCCTAGACTACTCAAGTAAGAAGTTAGGTACATAGAATTCTGAATGAATCTGATGGTCATTTGGGGCATCTCAGTGACTGTTGAGTTAAACTTATTCCACAACATGTGATACCTACAAAGTCCCTCTAGTATTAAAGACATTTTGAGCCAAATGATGTGATCTAAAATGGCAAACTGATTGACTTATCTAGTAAAAGATACCAGATCTAGTGATGCTTTCAAAACTTGAGTATTGGGGGCAAGTACTCAACAGGGGGATGGTATCGGTACTCTTGGTGTTTATAAACAAATGAAGAAATTCACACACAAAATCATAACACATAAACATGTCTGAGATGTTGCTGTGAGGGATAACAGATTCATTACCCAAATACCTTTCCCTTTGCATTGCATTATGATATCTTCATCTACCCTTCCCTTATGCATGTGGTAATGTCATTCATGCCTCCCTACTTCATTTTTGCTTAATTTAATGAAGTTTATAAAGCTTCCCATGCACACACACAAGTTATTTCTTATTTATATTCATATCATAGGTTGTTTTTTTTATTACTACATAAAGGTAATGAAATACTTTTATTGGTTACCCTGTTTGTGTATGTATTTTATTGAAGTAATTACCTTGAAAGTTGCTCTTCACTTTATAAAAAAACTCCTACTTGTTGTTTGAAAGTAATAATATTTTACACTGGACTTTGTCCTGGCCTGAATTTAGAGATTGATGGGAACGTTTTTGAAACAGCTATACATAGTTTCTAAAAGGAACAAAAAGATAACTTTTATAAGAAAATATAGTGAGATAAATACCATCTCTTAAATGATTCATAAAAACTTTTATTGCAAATGTTTTTTTCAACAATTGGACTGGTGCATGATGTTTTTAGGCCTGTAATTGTATTTAATGCTATTCACAAGTGGGGGTGTTCAGAACCATTTTATCCAATGAGCAAAAGAGACAGTTGCCCAGGCCTTATCGTCACCAGCAGCAGTTGCAGTTACAAGAAGGAGATCGTAGAAATCCCAAATAGTGCATACTGCATCAAATTGTCATGCAAAAGAAACTTAGTCTTGGTCTGTCCAAATGTAGACATAGCCCTTCACATGTATCCAATATTATATGTGTCCATGGATGAGGGAGAATGTTCCTTCTCAAAATCTAAGTGCATAAAGTCAGAATTACAGTCTACAAAGTAAGAACAGTGCTTTGATGTTAATTTCAACTGAGAACTGATCAACTTTACCAATACCATTGATGAGTTTGCAAGACTAAAAGCCAGAAAAAGTTGCAAGTGTAATAATAAACAATAAAATAATAATAAAAAACCAGATTTTTAAATATTTTTCATTTTTTATTTTCTTAAAAGCAAGGGTAAGGGGGGGGGTCCACAAATTTATACTTTGCCTGGGACCCATCAGTGCCTTATCGTGGCACTCGGTGTGTTCATTAGGGAAAAAAACAAAAGCTGTACAAATGTGTCAAAATGGGCTAATTGTTGAATACAAACTTCTCTTTAAAGGACAATTACTTATTTTATGGAGTAATATTAAAACAAAAGAGAAATAATAATGAATGCTACTTATTACATTACACACTTTCAATATAAAAAGAAATCAGATTTTCATTCAAAACATTCAATGGGTACATGCTTCATGTTTGAAGTGTCTGTTTCATAAATGTCACCACATAGATTTTTATGAATGCAGATATAAAAAAATTGCCACTATACTGCCACCTGGTTGGAAGGGATTAATAGAATTACTTAGTAATTTAAAAGTATTGTGAGATAAATTTCATACTGATGTAAAACCATCTTAACTAATAAATATCGAATAGATTGTACTGAATATCATAATTTTATTTCTCAGGAGGAGCCAGTTCCTCCAGTAGTTCAACCACAGCCTTCTACTTCAACAGTCTTTAACAGAGTTGGTCAACAGCAAGATAAGTGGAAACGACAAGTTCAAGAACAGCGACGACACATTTATGATCGTCACACCATGCTCAACTGAAGGTTTTACTTTAAGATAATAGGTGTATTATTTCAATATATTGTTTACATATAAGAGTCACATTTAGCTAATTAAGATATCTTTATACTGTGTATTTACATTATGTTCTCTTACTGTTCTCTTATTTTTCATTCTTTACATTAATTATGGCTTTTTCCCCCCTTTCAGTTAGAGTATAAATGATCACCAGACTAAGATGTTAAAAAAAGGTTGTATTTGTTGTGTAAGAATTTTCTTAGATTTAATAAATATATGAGTACATGTAAATATATTGAAAAGTCTGAAATTGTCGTTAAAGAACTTGAATATTAGCAGAGTTTCACGAGGGAAAAACAAGTTGTTTATTAATTTGTATATTTGGTTTAAAAAGTGCTCACATGAAAGGTTTTTTTCCCACATTAATTTACAATCAAAGAAAGTTTGGAAAAGAAAAATAAGAATTATTCTGAAGTAATTTGTGAAGTTCCTATTAATTCAAATAACAATGTTTTGTGGAAAAAAAAATTAATGGGATGATTAGAATTTTTAATTCTGTATCATGATATTTACCCTGTACAACCTTGGGTAGTGACTGTAGCTATATTGTACAAGTGTTAAAGATACTTGTGGAATGTTACATCTGAAAACATGAATTACACTGGTATGTATCAAGATTCATTTTAAACTGCACATAAGGGTATCAACTGCATTACAAAAAACTTACAAGCTGTAAAGTTTAGTTCATGCAAGTGCATGGAGATAGCTTGCCTCACTATTACACCAAGCATATTGGCTATCACAAACTGCACTGTATTCAGTATATTCTACGTGCTGATTATGTCTTTTAAATTATCTGTTATATTCACAGAAGGAATTTCGTGTACATTTTTTAGTTTTAGCTATTCTTAGTTGTCTATTAAGATCTTTTATTGTAAGAAAATATATTATGAATAAGGATTTATCATTCTTAAAGAGTAATATTTCTGCCTTGTTCTTTTATTTCTGTAATGGCATTATCTGTAAGAGTAAACAAAGATGTTAATTATGGTATTTCAATCAGAAAAAAATCAATAGAGATTTGTTGTCAGAGTTGATGTTTTTGTAGTCATTGCTCTGTTCAGTTAATACTTGTACGATCATACTGTAAGAATGAGGACATATGATTATAAAATTATATTATTTGTGCCTCTTTCTGTTATCTCTTTAATAGCACTTTCACTATGGAACTAAACAGATGTATTAATTATGATACTTTTCAATCAGAGAAAAGACTATAGTGAGTTCAAGAAAAATTGTAAGTGTGCGTCAGTTATGAAGTTTTATATTTATCAACAATTGCACATTTCACAAAGAATCCAATTGTGTAAAATTTGGTTCATACTTTTCAATATTGTATCTGAACATAACATGTAATATACTTTTTACTTATTTAAATTGTTTTTCATTTAGTAAGTAATAAATTTCTATAAAACACTTTAAATTTTTGTGTGTTATAAAACAAATTACATATTTCAGAGTGATCTAAATTCTTAAGAAAATGTAACTATTAGGAGTTTAAGAAAATATTTTAATTTATACCTTCAAACTTTTCTCCGAAAGGTAGAAAGAAAAGGAATCATCTTCATGCTAGTAATATTTTAAATTTTTTTGTTTTGTGAAAAAAATACTTAGTTTTCTTTTACAGACATTCCATCAAAAATGTTTATTTATTGTTCATATTGTGAGTGTTAATATCAAAATTTGTAACAAATACATTATACTTCAAAAATCTCTGTCTTTGCATTGTTATTAAGTGGTTGTGGGCTAAGAATTTAAATCTTGTATGTGAATAAATATATGTATGTATTTATGTGATTGTAATATTTAAAAATGATAATATGAAAGTCAGAAGTTATTAAGGTTAAATCAAAATTGCCTCTCTTAATGATTTCTGACTGTAGAGGGCAGCAAAACATCACAAGTACCCTAAAAATAAACTTGTAACCTGTGTTTTGTTTTATAAGTATGGTGAATGGGAGAGTGGTCAGTACCCAGCACTCAATGAGAAATTGCTATGTTGATATAATTTAAGTAAGAACGGTTGAAAAGATGATTAAATTGGTTTCATCAAAATGCTTTTGTCAATAGATTTGTTCAGGTTGCATTTCCAGTAAAGCTACTACCAAAATAAGTATATGATCATCAATCATAGGACAAGATGTGATTTTGGAATGTAAAAAAAATAAATTATTATTGGCAAACTGTACATGTTTTTTATAATTATCCTTGCATCTCTGTAAGCAATAAATTATTATTGGCAAACTGTACATGTTTTTTATAATTATCCTTGCATCTCTGTAAGCAATAAATTATTATTGGCAAACTGTACATGTTTTTATAACTTTCCTTGCACCTCTGTAATGTGATTCCTATGAGTAAGGAAGTATCTGAGGGTTGCGGGTTCGAATCCCAACCCCACCAAACATGCTCGCCCTTTCAGCCATGGGGGAGTTATTATGTTACAGTCAATCCCACTATTCGTTGGTAAAAGAGTAGCCCAAGAGTTGGCAGTGGGTGGTGATGACTAGCTGCCTTCCCTCTAGTCTTACACTGCTAAATTAGGGATGGCTAGCGCAGATAGTCCTCGTGTAGCTTTGCGCAAAATTCAAAAACATACAAACAAACAAACAAGTAAGGAAGTAAATGTATGGCTGGCTAATATCAATCCTTTAAAAACAATGCAAACAAGACAGTAGGTTTGGCATTTGCATCATACCTACATAATATAGCACAGGCACACAGTGTAGTAGAATGTTGACAGACATAAATAAGATGAATTAAACTCAGTTGTGATTGAATAGTTATATATACATATATTGCTACATGTAATTCTTTCCTGTGCTATTAACATTAGTGGCTATGTAAAATGTATTTTAATATCCAAATTATGTCATGAAGCTATTGGTAGCGTAAGACATGTGCCCATATAATAGAAACATCCCACGTACTTTCTCAACTGTTGTCACGGTCGAAGTTTTTGTAAGCGTAATAGAACTGGAGTTGTTAAACTTATTTTCGTTTTTTTAGACTTCATGCAGCAACTTTTAAGTACAACAATTTAGAAAAGCTGTTCACAATCTGTTTGAGATTGATGCTCAATTCTTATATTGCCTGCCCCAAGCCTGTATCATAGACTTAAAAGAAACAAAAGGGGACACGCCTGATAATATGAAATATTGCCTGTCACAACGTGTTGCAGTGACGACTCCAAGAGTGAGAAACTTGGAATGCGAAAGATTCGCAGACAAACAGGCTTAAAACTTATGGAAGAAATGTTAAAGGAGCTTCATGAGAGAATGATTATTCTCGCTGCGGAATGTTTTTATTCACATTACAAACATGTTTGTCTCGAATACAAGGTACTCTATCTGTTCGACGCTTTTCACTGAGGTATCGTACAGACTCTGCCGATTAATTATTTGAATAAATTAACACGAAATTCCTGAAGTCGGTGAAATTTTAAATTTAAACATAACTACAATGAATAGCTTTTACAAGCTCATAACACTGATATATAAAATTAGTAAATGTATGAACAAGTTATAAAACAGCTTCGCTTAATATTACAGGCACCTTCCTTACCGG